CCCCCCCGGGATATTACTGCAAAAGTATGAGATATAATAATATAATGTACAACAACAACAGGAAAGATGAGAATACGGTTATCATAAGCATTACATACCGCAATAATTATAATGACATTTTAGTGTTATTAGGTGCAATATTGATACAAACAGGTAATATCAACGAATGAATGAAAACTAGCATGATGTTAAAATAGACAATATGCCAAATTTACTGAAATGCCATACCAGCGCCCCCGTTTGTCGATAATCTTGTTGAAAAAAGTTACACTACATATATATATATAGGATATATACGCAGCGCAGTTAAGAAAAAGCAGCCAAATATGAAAGCGGAAATGATACAGAATAATATTGCGGAACATGAAAAGCCATGATAAGAAAGCAGACATCATAAGCATTGCATTATAAATTGGTTACTATGATATTCTAGTATATTAATTAGATGACAAAAATTACACACTATCGCCGCCAAACGTCGATAAGTGTAATGAAAATTAAGTTTCGAATATATACATTATCATAAAGTTGTACTACATGCATATAGGATATATAGCGCAATTAGGAAAAAACAGCCAAATATGAAAGCGGGAATGATACAGAATAATAATACGTAACAGGAACAGCCAATATTAAAAAAAGCAGTATTAACCAGCGTAACATTATACATTGATTGTGTACTATAAAGTTACATTACATATAGGATATATGACGCAAGTAGGAAAAAAGCAACCAGATATGAAAGCGGAAATGATACAGAATAATAATCGGTAACAGGAACAGCCAAGATTTAAAAAAGCAGACATAACCAGCGTAACGTTATAAATTGATTACTATGATATTCCAGCACAATTAGATGACAAATTAACAAAAATCTACATTAGCAACGCCGAGCGTCGATAAACGTATTGAAGAAAAGTTGCGAATACAGTTGTATATACATTATTATAAAGGTGCATTACGTGTAGTTTATATGACGCAATTAGGAAAAAGCGGCCAGATGATTGCGGAAATACAGAATATTGCGTAACAAGAACAGCCAAGATAAAAATGCAGATATCATAAGCTTTACATTATAAAATTATTACTATGATATTATATTTCAATTAGATGAAATAGATATGTTCTATGTACATCTAGAAAGACGTAATATCAACGAATGAATAAAAACATGCCAAATTAACTCAGATGACGTACGAGCGCCCCCAAGCGTCGATATACGTAACGAAAAACAAGTTGTGAATATACATTATTATAAAATTACAGCATATATAGGATATATGGCGAAATTAGGAAAAAGCAGCTGGACATGATTGCATTATAAAATGATTACTATGCTACTATAGTTCAATTTGACGAAATATGCAAGATCTTCTTCCTATTTCTTAAGAGAGATATACTGATAGAATTTTATCATATAAATCTATGCTAGAATAGCTCTTCTTCATATTAAATGCATAATGTTTGCAAAATATTATTTCTTTTGCGAGATATTGCGCATGCGCGAGCCAAGTTTCAGGCGTGCAATATGAACTGAATAAAAACTGCATAATATAGCTTGCTGAGGGAATGAGGGGTGGGAGATTGAGAAAAAGGGGCAGAGAAGATAGCTGAGAAGAGTAGAAGAAGAAAGGAGGCCGAGCGATGGACAAGGGAGGCAATTGGGAAGGACGCAAAGGGGTGAAGTAGGCGTTTTGCACCCTACAGGCTAGGACGCTCTCCTATTTATAAACACAGGTCTACCGATAATAATTTATTACAGAAATCTATGTTGGGATACCTCCTAACCAAATTAAATGCATCTTCATAACCAAATATAACTCCTCTCGAGAGATATTGCGCATGGGCTAACACACTATCGTGGCCAGATTGTGTACTGACTGGTATATGCATCGCGCACCTTACATGTAAGGTCTTCTTCTAATTTCTTAAGAGAAATCTACTGATGGAATTTTATCATAAAAATCTATGCTAGTATACTTCCTCTTCAGATTAAATGCATAATCTTTGCAAAATATTATTCCTTTTGGGAGATATTGCGCATACGCGAGCACCGTTTCAGGCGCGCAATATGAACTGAATATAAACAGCATAATATAGGTTTCTGATGGAGGGAGGAGGGAAGACTGAAGTTAGGCGGCGAGGAAGTCATGAAATCGGCAATAGACCTGGTAAACACACGTGCACCTAATAAAACACGACAACACGGTTATTTATTACATTATAAGATTATATTATACAAGATATCAGCACTACGCTCCGTGCAAGAAATATATATGCGTCATACATACATAATTGAGTTATAAGTCTGCCAGGACCATGCACATATCAACGCTGTAGCAATAAGCGCACTGTCTAGGTATGCCTGTGTTATATTTCTATCATCGATATATATGTTCGAGTTTCACCTGCATCAGCAATACATACCAACGTTACACATTTGGCAGTACTATATACCTGTGTTACACCTGTATTCACATTTCTCTATCAGCACTATATACCTGTGTTACACCTGCATTCATCTATCTTTGTATACCGATGTTACACCTGCATTCACATATCTCTATATACCGGTGTCACACCTGCATTCATCTGTCTATATATACCGGTGTTACACCTGCATTCATCTATCTTTATATGCCGGTGTCACACCAGTGTTAACATTTCTCAATCACCACTATATACCGGTGTTACACCTGCATTCACATATCTCTATATACCGATGTTACACCTGCATTCACCAATCATTATATACCGGTGTTTCACCTGTATTCACATATCTCTATATACCGATGTTGCACCTGTATGCAATCGTGCAATCGTGCCTGTGTTATATATTTATTATCAACTTCTTTGTCTCTCGCTCTCTCTCTCTCCTTCTCCTTCCCTCTCTCTTTCTCTCCTTCCTTCTCTCCCTCTCCCCTCCTCTCTCCTCTCCTCCCCGCGCTCCGTACCAGAGATCGTAGGGAGCGCAGGCGACGTGAAGGCGGGCCACCTCACAGAACACTCCAGCCTCGCACAGGTCGGCAGGGCTGCGCGCATGCGTCGTTCCCATGTACAGGAGCACGTCGATCTGCCGCAAGTAGGACTGCGCCGGACACGGCGTGGCAGTGCTGTCGTCATCGTTGCCGTCGTCGCCATCGTTAACGTTGTTGTTGTCGCCATCGTTAACGTTATCATTATCACCATCGTCGTCGTCGCCGTCGTCGTCGTCACCGCCGTCGGCCTGCATCGTGCCCTGCGCCTCGATACAGTCAGAGAACGTCATCGTCGGCGACCAGCCGTCGGCCGTGCAGCGGTACGTCGTCGGCGGGACGGAGGCAAGCGCGAACCCGTCCGCACAGCTGACTGTGCACACGTCGGCACCGTCGCCGCCGCTACGACAGCTCACGTTGCCACCGCGAGGGGGCGTCGGCGGTGCGCAGATGTCGCTGCTGCTGCTGAAGCCCGCGGCGTCGACGGTGACGTTGACGCTGACGGTGACGTTGAACGCGCAGACGTTGATGTTGCCGGCGGCGTCCTGCGCCTGGTAGACGACGCGGACGTCGCCAACGCCCATCACGTGACCGGGCGCGTGGCTGCGGCTGGTGCGCACGGGCGCGCCGGAGTTGTCGGTGAAGACGACGTCGGGCCACGTGGCGACGACCGTCGCGTCGGCGTCGTCGATGTAGTAGTGTAGCGACGACGGACAGGACTGGTACTGCGGCAGCTCCCTGTCCTGCAGCGACATGGAATTTAATGTTGTTATGATTATTGTTGTTGTTGTCAATTTTATTATTATCAATATTGTTTTTACTGTTATTACTCTAGTTGCTGTCGTTATTGAATGAATGAATGATTGATTGATTGATTGATTGATTGATTGATTGATTGATCGTGTTAATTCCTCGTTATATTACATCTATCGTAAGAAATATTAGTCTTCAGAACAATAATCGATCACTTATCGATTGTTGACTTTACACCTCCGTGAGAAATCATAGCCGTTAGAACAAACAATTGATCCCTTATTGATTTTTGACGTTACACCTATCGTAAGGAATTAAAGCCGTCGATTCGTCGGCGTTACCTCGACCGTGACGACGAACGAACACGTCGCCCTGTTGCCGTTGTCGTCGATGGCCTTGTACGTAACCTTCATCTCTCCAATCTCGACCTTGACCGGCAGCTCCACGTCCGGATGCGCCACCAGCGCCACCGGAAGCTCGGAGTTGTCGCTCGCCGTCGGCGGCTGCCACGCGACGACGCTGTAGTTCTCTCCCGGAAGCGTTGTTGCGACGATGCTTCCGGGACAGCCGACGACATCCGGCGGCGTCACGTCGAGGCAGTAGCTGAGCGCTGCGCCCAACCACCGCCCGGTGGCGCCACAGTGCCGCGTGCTCGGACCCTGTAGAACGAACCCTCGTTGGCAGCTCAGCACGCACGTGAGGCCGCGACGCGCGCGCTGCGTGGCGCACTCTGGCGGCTCGAGGACGCCCCTAGCGACGGGGTCAAGCGGCGGGCACGTGTACTCGCGGCATCGCACTGGGAGTCCGCTCCAGTGCGCTATCGACAGACACGACCGCGTTGCCGTACCCAGCATCTGATAACCCTCGCGACACGCGAACCGACACACGGCCCCGTAGCGGAAGCCATCGTCATCGTCGCCGCTGTCGCACGTCATCGTGCCGTCGGAGGGCGCCGCCAGCGCGCCGCACGACTTGATCCGGCACGCCGTCCGGGTTCCCGTCCACGTTCCGTTCTCCGTGCAGATCCGGATGCTGGATCCGGACAGCGTGTATCCGCCACTGCAGCGGATGCCGCAGGCAGCGTGGAAGATGTTGTTGCACGTGCCCGGGATGAAGTAGCCGTCGACAGGTGGCAGCAGCGGCTCGCAGCTCGTCACTTCGCACCTGCCGTCGGCGGCGAGCCGGAAGCCGGCCTTACAGGTGCAGTTCTGTAGAGATGTAGTTAATACTTATTATTATTATTGTTGTTGATGTTATTATTATTATAATTTATTAGGATAGTAAGACGACGGCGAATAGCAAAGGCTGCACATTAGAAATTTCAGAATAATCCATGGCTAAACAAACCAACAACAACAACAACAACAACAACAACAAATAACAACTACAATAACTACAACTACAACAAACAACATTAACAACAACTACAACACACAACAATAAATAACAGCAATCAACAACAACCACAAACAACAAACAACAAACAAACAAAAACCACCAACCTCCAGGTGATTGCTCCCTCGCGGCGACTCCATGTGTCCGTCGGGGCACGGCCGACAGGTGGCGTTACCCCCGCGCTGCCGATGCGGCTTGTACGTGCCGGCGGGGCAGTCGCGACACTCGCCGCTCTCGTGCGCCTCGTACTGACCCGCCTTGCACACGCACTCGTACTGCAGCGCTCTCAGCTCGCACGCGCACTGTGACGTCACGTGGCAACAGTCGCCCGACGCGCACAACGCATCGCAGCGCCACCCGGCGGCCTCAGCGTACCGCCGCTTCCAGTTCCACGCCAGGCCGGCGGTGGCGCCACCGAGCAGCTCGCCGACGCGCGCGAAGGAGTCGACGGCGAACGTGTGCTCGAGAGAGGGCGCTGATGCGAGTCGCAGCATCTCGCCGACGTGTCCGCCCGTCGTGCCGACGCAGAAAATCTCGGCGCCGACGTCACGGAGTTCCTCGACGGCCGTCGCCGGACTTCCGCTGGTCGCGTGACCGTCGGTCAGCAAGAAGACGACGCGTTTGACGACGGAGCGCCGACGACCGGCCAGTAGGATCGCTCGCGTCGCCTCCAGCGCACCCGTCGTGTGAGTCCCGCCGCCGACGTACTGAACGTCGGCTAGCTCGTCCAGCATCAACGAACACTGGTGCTTGTCGGCGACCGACGACGACGACGGCGACGGTGACGACGACGATACGTGATCGACGGCGACGCTGGCGCGCCCTTGCGTCGTCACGCGCACGACTGCAACGCGGGTTGCGTCGGGCGCGACGCGGAAGTGCGTCAACGTGCGACGCACGAAACCGACAAGGTGCGCGAAGTTGTCGGCGCCGACGCTGTCCGAGGAGTCGACGACGAAGACGACGTCGACGCGGCTGTCGTTGCTGTGACGCAGCCGCTGCAGCTGCGAGAGAAACGCCCGGCTCTGGTCGTCAGGGCGACGCCGCAGCAGCGCCGCCAGGCGGGCGTGCTTGAGCGCGAGGCGCCGGTAGAGGCGCTGCAACTGCGTCGGCTGGCTGCTGCCGGGTTCAAAGGTCAGGTTGCGGAAGACGTTCAGGCTGGGCTTCCTTCTTGCAGCGGCGTCCGTAGTTACGGCCAGAAGAAGCAGCAACAGGAGGGGCAGCAGCAGCAGCACGCGGTTGCCATGACGGAGTGTCTCCATTCTCATGTCAGAACGTGGGATCACACTTGAGTAGACGATTCCACGAGATGTTTGCTCAGATAAAACGTCTTCCTCGCATCCATTTCGTCTCTTCGTTCTTCATTCCGGCAGATCTGCGCCCGTGTTCAAAAGATTGTTCTACAATTATATGATTAGCTTATCATAGTTTGTACTCCCGTAGAGCACAGTGTGTGAGCACCCTCTCTCCCTCTTCTCTCTCGCTCTCTCTCTCTCTCTCTCTCTCTCTCTTTCTCTCTCTCTCTCTCTTCTCTCTCTCCTCTCTCTCTCTCTGTCTCTCTCACTCTCTCTCTTCTTTTGTTCGCTTGCTCTCTCTCTCGCCCTCTCTCTCTCTCTCTCTCCTCGCTCTCCCTCTCTATTTCTCTCTTTCTCTCTCTCCTCTCTCTCTCTCTCTCTCTCTCTTCTCTCTCTCCCCTCTTGCTCTCTCTGTCTCTACGCTTATCTCATTCTTCTTCTCTGCTCTGCTGCTCTACTTCTGGTCTCTTCTCTTCTCCCTATCAATCTTTCTTCTCTCTCTCTGCTCTCTCTCTCTCTCTGCTCTCCGTTCTCTCTCTCTCCGCTCTCAATCTCTCTCTCTGCTCTCTCTCCACTTCTCTCTCTCTCGTCCTCTGCTCTGCCTAGCGTACAACTGAGCAGACGCCTGTTGCTGTTGCTTAGGCTCTTCCCTCGCTCTCCCCGGCAGCTGACCGGTGGAGTTTGCGGGCGCAGATGTTGATCTTACTGACTGAGAGACAAACTGACACTTGATCCGTCCCATTGCCACACCCCAGCCTCTGCGCGGGGAGACCACAAGTTCTGCAGATAACATGCCATTAACAAACATGCAGGCGTGGCGGAGAGAAGACAGAGAGAGAGAGTAAAGAGAGTACGACCCCAAGGAATCCCGAAGATGAGAGAGAGAGATGGGGATGAGACGAGGGAGGGAAAGAGGAGGGTAGAGAGGGGAGGGAGCCAGAGGAGAGAGAGAGAGAGAGCCGATAGAGCGAACAGTGAGATAGAGGGCGATGAGAAGAGGAGAGAAGAGAGAGAGAGAGGAGAAACCTGGTGAGCAGAGAGAGCGGGAGAGAGAAGGAGACGACAGAGATCGAGAGATGAGAGAGAGAGATGAGAAGAGAGAGAGTTACGTCGAGCGGCCCCACGATCGGACAGAGAGCCTGCTCGGTTATGAAGATCCCCGAGATCGATGGAGGAGAGAGAAGAGATCTCATCCAACACGTCTCGGCCCGAGGAGTGCGCAGAAGTCACCGGGCCAGGCTAAGACACGGACAGGATCTCATCTATCTATCCTATACTATCTATCTAAATCTATTTGATCTAATCTAGGTATCTATACTTTATCTATCTATTCTATCTATCTATCGTATCTATCTAGTCTATCCTATCTATCGATCTTATCGAGTCTTATCGATCTTATCGATCTATTCTTTATCCTATCGTATCACTATTATTCATCCTTATCTATCGATTATCTATGCCTATCTATCTATCATATCTATCGTAGCTATCTATCTATCTATCTATCTATCTATCTGATCGATCGATCGATCGATCCGATCGATTCGATTCGATCGGATCGATCGATCGATCTATTATTATCTTATCTATCGTTATCTATCTCATCTATCTATCTATCCTAATTATCTATCTATTATCTATCTATCTAGTATCTATCTTATCTTATCTATCTATCTATCTATCTATCGTATCTTATCTAATCTATCTATCTATCTTTATCGATAATGCTAGTCTATCTATCTATCCTATACTATCTATCTATCCATATCTATCTAATCGTATCTATCGATATCTATCTATCTATGCTATCTATTCTACTATCTATTCTTATCTATCTAGTCTATCTAATCTATCTCTAGCTATCTATCTATCTATTCTATCTATCTATCCTATCTATCTATCCTATTCTATCTATCTATCTATCTATCTCATCTATCGATATCGGTTATCACTATTTACATCTAATTCTTATCTATTTAATCTATCCTATACTTTCTACGTCTACTCTCATTTATCTATCTATCTATCTAATCTTTTATTCCCTATCTTTATCTATCTATCTATCTTAATCTACTCTATTTATCTATCTATCTATTCTAATCTCCTTCTAATCTATCATTATCAATATCCTATCTATCATATCTGATCTAATCCTATCTATCTATTCTGACATCTATCATAATCATATCTTATCTATCTGACATCTAATCTATCTATCTATCTAATCTATCTATTTCTCTCTCTCCTCTCTTCTCGTCCCTACTCTCTCTCTCTCTCTTTCTCTCTCTCTCTCTCTTCTCATCTCTCAGCTCTCTCTCTCTCTCTTTCTCTCTTTCTCTCTCTCGCTGCTCGCTCTCTCTCTCTACTTCCTCTCGCTTTTCTTCTCTTTCTCTCTCTACTCTCTCTCTCATCTCTCTCCTCTCTCTCTCTCTCTCCTCTCTCTCTCTCTATCACTATCTTTACTTGCTGTCTCTCTCTCTCTCTCTCTCCTCTCTCAGTCACACTTATTCTCTCGCATCTCTCTCTCTCATCTCTCTCTCTCTCTTCTCTACTCTCTCTCTCTCATCTCTCTTTCTCTATCTCTCTCTCTCTCTCTCTCTCTCTCATCTCTCTCTCGGCTCTCCTCTCCATCTCATCTATCTACATCTCTCGTATCCTCTCCCTCGTCTCTCTCTCATCCCGTCGTCTCTACCGGGCAGAAAAACAAACAAAATAAACGAGTCATATAACTAGCTAAACTAGACTGACCTAACAATCTAAGTAACAATAACACAATGCTGAATAACAAAGTTAAACTGACTAGTTGACCGGAAGATAACGAGTAACATAACCGAGTGATGCTAGCTAAGGAGTCATCCGCCGTACCGCAGCTATCCACTATCACCTGAACGTGAGCTGTATAAACGCACGCGTCCCGCGTCCTGGTCTATGCCGCTCGCAGACTGCGGCCTACAGTACTGTCGCATTTCCATCCTCCGCAGCCATTGAATGTTTACCTGTAACAGAGATGTCCCGCTGCTCCATCACCGCCATCACCGCCAATGCGCCAACTCTGTCGGCCTATGCCATCCATGTAACAGGTGGTTTGGAGAGCGCTTCGGCAAAACGGAGAAGACTGCGTGTGTGTATACGTAAACAGATCGAGTTATCGGTGTTGCACCCGGATTTCTTGTGCGTGGATGTTTGTGTGTATGGTCTGTCGTCCACTCGCGGCGTCTTGTAAAAAATCCGTCGCCGCATCTCTTTGCTATGCTGCGATAAAAACAAGGAGAAGGTAGAGGAATAGAGAGAGACGGAGAAAGTTAGAGAGAGACGAGAGAGACAAGACAGAGAGAGTGGGGACGAGATCGAGAGTGACGAGCCGAATGAGAGAGAAGAGAAGAGGATCGAGACGAAGAGAAGACGAGAGACGAGAGAGAGAGAGAGAGAGAGAGAGAGAGAGAGAGAGCTAGGCTAGAGAGGCATGGAATGAGAGAGTTGCGCGCGTACAATGTACAGAGAGAAACTAAAAAGGGAATATGGGGTCGATGTTGAGTTGAAAGGTTCTTTCTACTTCTATTGGTGTATTGATAATGACGTGAGTTCTATGGAAACGTAATTAGATACGACTATATACCTCATTAGCAAAGTATTTGGCGGGTTTGTCCACTCTAAATTTGAAGTATTATTGCAACAAAATTCCACTTCAATTATTTGGTATGCAAATGCCATACTGCAAATGACATAAAGGGTAGGGCACACATCGCCACCTAATGGCTGATATAAACTTTATTACTATATCGTTAGTCAGGGCATTAAGCTCAAAATGCAGCTGGATATATGACCTACGGAGTATAACATATACCGCCACCTATTAGCCGATTTAAATTTGATTAGTGAATTATTTTTTATCACATGCTAGTGAGAGGAATATTTACACTCCATTTCAACACCAAAATATCGCTTTCTCTTTGAGCATGCGTGATTATAGGTGTTACAGTATACTATAGGAAACTTTTGTGTGGTAAGATTGGGCACGTTGGTAAGTTTACTTTAAATTAATAAGTATAAGTGAATCAAATTCCTATCTGATATAAAAACCATTCGTTTATAATCTTCATTCAGGCTCAGCCAAGGCAGTTATCGCGAAGCGTGGCATGAGTTATTATTTTGTTTTATGTTATACCTTTCTGCTATATGTAATTTGTGTAAATGTATATAAAGTGTTTGAAGAATTGAAATAAAAGAAAAATGAAGAAAAATTAAAGAAAGTGAAATTAAATAATTGAATTGAATTGTACGATGAGCTCCGCTTTTAATACGAAATTCCTCACTTGATGGCGCCACGATGCGTTTCCCCGCTATCGGCGCAGACGATAGCTGCACAGTGTGTGATTGGTCGGTTGAGTCTGGACAACGAAGGAGGTCACGACAGCAGGTGCTACGTGACCCGCATCACATGCACCAGCCTATGCACCAGCATCTTCGTCTTCTGCACTTTCCTCAAGTCGTGTGCTAAAGCTGAACCATCGCAGACGATCAACGTTAGGTACTAATGAAAGAGAGCGCCACTGTCTAAGATCCCGCACGACTCTACGAATGCAGGTATACTCGTCTAATTCTCTCGCACGTGTAGTTCTTAGTTTAGACTAATTTGATCCCACGGTCGTAACGTGAGGGTAGTTTCACGTTGCTACGTGTGTGTGTCTCTGTGGCCCCGCTGATGATGTTTTCGTTTCGGTTTCGGATGGAAAGGTGAGCGGAAGAATCGGGTATCCCGTGTGCGTTATTCAATTAATAAATGAGATTCGTAAGTCAATTGGGCACACGATCTAGTACTACTAGTAGTAGCAGTAGTTGGGAGCGAGTGCGTGAGACTTTTTATGGTAGCGATACTCCGATAGTAATTGTAATTGCTACTGTTTTTGCGATCGCGGGAAAGATAAATACGTGCGTGACGAGTACGGGTTAGGCAGACGCCGTAATTTTGCCGCTCCAATGTTTTTCCAAAATGTTTGCCGTTCGCTCGTCCGACCTGGCTTGTATAATAATAATGTATTCTGTAGAGCCCGTTCGTTGTTGATTTACACGCTCTCGAAAATGGCCCTATCTGTTTGCTTTCATGTACAAGCAGCGATCGCTCCTTGAAAGCACTTAGTATTATGAACGAGCGCTAGTAGAGAATAGTATAGTGCAAGCATGTAATCCTGGTTTGGTTCTACTGCTGTACACT